TATTTTAATGTTATTGCTTTCTGTACTATGTTATTTTATGTGATCTAAATATTATGAAACGTTCTAAGCAAAATGTATTGTTTGAGTAGTTTTGTTCGTCTTAAGAACTAAAATTATAGTAGATGTGGAAAAAAAATTTTGTTTTTATTGGTATAATCTTGATTTATTAAATTTGACTATTTGTAAACATATATCTATATTTACGTAAAAATATTTTATATTTAGTTATATATATATATATATACTTTTTCTTGTTTTGTGAGAAGTTTTTGATTTTTTTCTTTTAAGTATATTATTTCCCAAACATAATATCTAAAATAAACTTCTTCTATATATTCAAGATCAAATTTAATTTTGAAATTTATTTTTATTAAATCATTTTATCTTACAATAAAATAATTCATTTTTTAATGAAAAACAAATTATATGAAATATCTAACTTTCATCAACTATGTTTTTCTATTTACAATGATGTTTTCTCATTTTTCACATATTTTTTTTTAATATTACTAAATAAACATAATTTTAAACATCTCACATATGTTAAATGTATATTGACATGTATTATATTCAGAAAAATTAATTTCTTGTATTGAAAGCTGAATATCTACATTAATATTTTGTTGACTCTAATTAAATAGGGTGATATTATTTTATAAAGAGTTAAATTTGATTAGCTGTAAAAAAAAAAAGAATTAAATGTGATTATTTCAACTTTCCAAAATAGATCTTTACTATATACTTAGTTTTTTGGAATAACAAAACAATTCAATATTTTTATCAACTATGTTTCCTATTTACTAAGATATTTTCCCATTTTTCACATTTTTGTTTGACTTTATTCAGTTATTGTTTGAGTTAAATTCCCCTTTTAATAAATTTTTTTTCTATTTTCTTATATAAAATATAAAATTTCCTAATGTATAATTCTTTCGGAGTTATTTTGATTTCATTTCCATTGATTAAAATACAAATCTAAACTTATGACTCCAAAACCAAACTTAATTATTACAGATATTTAGATAGATATGAATTACAGTATTATTATGAAAACACTTTCGACTTCATACGTATAATCAAAGATTAGTGGTGACTCAGAGTAAAAATTAAGATTAGCTTAACCCATTTTACTAATTTATGGAACAGCCACGATTGAGCTTAGTAAAGATGTAAGAACTAATAACTAAAATCTAAGATCTATATGTTCATTCAAAAAAAAAAAAAAACTTAGATCTATTACGGATGTGGAACATAAAACAAGCATATCACACTCAACTTCAGTTTTCACTTTTCAATTTTCATTAAACCAAAACATTTGACCGAACTGAACTTTTCAGACTTCTGAAAACTATTTAAAGGCATATCCAAAAGTTACAAAGAAAAATTCAAGATTGTTCAGAAATGATGAGCTTGAGTTTTGCTTTGGGTCTTGGTGATGATTCTGATGCTTCTTCATTTGCATTCTTTTTCGCATTAGTCTTCTTTTGTGTTTGCATCTCGACCCTTTCGTCTACCAACTTAGCTGAAATTAGCCCAGGTAACTCTAGTTTAAAACACTCTATTGAATGTTGAAAATTGAAATAAATGTCATTATATTACAACTATTCGGTTCGCCAATATCTTTGGCCCGGCCTTGATTGTGATATATGTTTTCGATATAGGATTGTCTGCAAAAGGTGCAGCTGAAGTAGTGAAGCTAGCACAGCGAATGACTCTCAACTACTACACAGGTATCATGAGTTCTTCGGGGAACAAGTGGGAGAAAATTCAGGTAGAGAATGTGGCACCAAACATGAGTTTCATGATCCGAAAGAACGTGAATGAGCCTGGTGAGTTTAGTGGGATTTTGCTGAGTGCAGCCAGCCACTTCTGTTTGGTTCCCAGTGAAACAGAAAGCACTTTTTGCTTTCCAATATCCAATCATCCAGCTTTGCTACTTCTTCTGCATTTTCACCATACCTATGATTCAAATCAAAATCACATAATAAGAACACATAATCTCTGAGAAAAAAAAATTTAAAGAACGAAAAAAAAAAGAAAACGAACCTGTTTGATAAGCATTTATAACAAAACTTAATGGGACAGAGCTTGTTCTTCTTCATGACCTTGCATGGTGCAGCAAAGTCAAGAGTCTTTTGTCGACACTACAAAGAAATAACCAACATTTCAATAGAAGAAAACGAAACTTTATCATCTAATAAAGAATGAAAATTAAGAATCATAATTATGTTTTACCTGGTGACATGATTTGCCATTTTTGGAGTCATAAATTCTTCGTCCGATGACTCTAACACCGGGATTGGTTTGACGCTTTTTCGCCATAACAACAGGAAATTACAACATAAAAAAGCAGACTTTCGGAATTATAGAGAGTGTAAAGAACTATATTGGTGGGTTAGAGAGCAAGGAAGAAATTTAGGAGGAAGATCCGGAGGATTTAATTAAAGAAGATTAGAAAACAAAAGTTGAATTGAGTATCGAATCTGAGAGGTGTTTCTCTCTTCTTAAATAATAGGTTCAAAGTTCAAAAAAAGGGAAAAAAATATATTCAAATGGCAGTTTGTTTTTCATTAGATGTTTTCAGATTTTTATCTTTTTATTTGACTTTTTACTATTTTATGTTAAAGCTATGATTGGTATTTACTTTTGGATTTGTAGAAAAAATCTTTTATTTCTTTTTTTTGTAAAGTAAATTGGCATAATAAAATTAAGAATATGTAAATTGACTTTGACTAAATAATAGTGAAATGAAGAAAGGTAAGATATTTTATTTGACTTGTATAATATGATGGTAAAATAATAATTAAGAAAGAATCTTTAGATTATGCAAAATCTATGGACATTCATGTAACTTACTTATTTCTTGGTCAAATCATGTAGCACTTAATGGTGATTAGATTTTTTTCTCTTTTCTAAAGATATTTTTCTTCATTATTAAAATTCAAATAAAAATTTCTTACATTTTCTTCATTTCACTATTACTTTATTTTCTAGAAATTTTTAGTCAAAGTCAATTTTTATATATTACCATTAAGTGCTACATGATTTGACCAAAATATAAGTAGGTTACATGAATGTCCATAGATTTTGCATAATCTAAAGATTCTTTCTTAATTATTATTCTACCATCCTATTATAGAAGTCAAATAATTTTTTTTTTTACCTTTTTTACAATTCACCATTATGTTATATAAATTTTTAGTCAAAGTCAATTTCTATTTATATTTCATTATGCCAATTTACTTTACAAACAAAAAAAATAAGAGATAATGTTTCTACAAATCCAAAAATTAATACCAATTAGAGCTTTAACATAAAATAGAAAACAGTCAAATAAAAGGATAAAAATCTGAAAACAGCAATTGAAAAACACACTGTCATTTTGAATATTTTTTTCCCTCTTTTTGAATTTTTAACCTATTATGTAAGAAAAAGGAAATACCTCTCAGATTCCACACTCACTTCAGCTTTTGTTTTCTAGTCTTCTCTAATTAAATTCTCCAAATTTTCCTCCTAAATTGCTTCATTACTCTCTAATCAACCATTTGTTTTATTATGGAAATTTGTTTTCAAAATAAAACTAATAGATTTCGTTTATACAAATCCCAAATTCTAGACCAATAAGAGCATTAACATAAAATTAAAAACAATACAAAAAAGGATAAAATCTGAGAGAATTTTAAATATATTTTCCCTCTTTGGAACATTTAGAAAATTACAATAAAATTGTATTATTATTAAAGATGTCATCAAAAAATTTTCAATATATTTTTATAATCATTTTAAAAAATAAAATATATATCATGGTTAAAATTACCACACAATTTTATTTCTTTTAAACGAAATATAATTATAAATTATATTTTTCAGACATATATACATGTATATATTAAGAGTTTTATATTTGGAAGTAGATCCAAGTCGGATCTCAATATCATGTTTTAAAAAAAAAATTGGATCTAGATCCGGAAATTTCATATATCATCTTTCGATCAGATTGGATTAAGATTTCAGATATTTTTCCCACCTCTAAAGATGATATACATTTATCAAATGATTTTTTCAAAAATGTTTTATATTAAATTAGATAATTTTTTATACTAAATTTGAATTATTTTATCTTTTCATTTGAAAAATTCAGGAGTCAAAACATAAACATCAAGCAATCAAACTAATAATAATATAAAAAGATTAGCAAATAGATTTCAATAATAAGACAACCAAAAAATTATGCAAATATTTAAAAACTCTAAATAAAATCGACTGAATGTAAAATATCTTAAACATTGTTACATTATCACATACCTTTTGCAAAAGAATTCAATCGAATGTTAGATTTCTTCATTGATGCGATCAAAAAAGCACAAACTTTCTTATGATGTGTTTTCGCTATGTTTGTTATAAGAAAAGTGCAGCGGCTATGAAAACATAAAACTGTGATTTGGATCCTTTTATAGAACAAGAATGTTAACCTAGGTGACATAAAGATTGATACATGCCAAACGACGTCGAATAGATTAGTATTTATTCGACGTCGTTTAGCATGTTTTAATTTTGTGTTGTCTAGGTTAACTTCTAGTTCTATAAAAAGATCTATACGACGTCGTATACAAGTTTATCTAACGCTAATTTTTTAGTATATTATACGATGTCGTTTGACATGTTTCAATCTTTGCTTCGTCTAAGGTAAATTTTTGTTCAGCAAAAGATTATCTAATTCACAAATTTTTTGTATCACTAAAATCTAGCTCGGTTAATCTATCCATACATACTTTTTAGTAAATAAAATCCCGAAACAAACAAAACTAAGAAGAAAAAGGAATGACATTCAAGAAATGATGTCAAGCTTCGATGTTTTTTAGTGTAAGGATCATCATAACTTCGACTAGGCATAAGATTTGGAGGAATTAGATTTGTTCATACGTTCTATGTTTTCACATGTCCCCAAAGAGCCAATAAGCATTGTATAAGTTTTGTTGTTGTTTTAAGTTCGAATAGATCACTTATCATCTTATTTATTGGCAATTAATGTTAAGTGGAACTAATATACAAGACGTAACATGTAAAACAACTACACTAGATTCTGAAAAACATTGAACAAATACTCAGCACTCTGAGAGATATTATATCAAACCCCAAACCGATGTAACACAACAAGGCCTCTCCTTTTGTCTCCCTCATAAGCCATTTTCATGCATTTGTTGCCTCTCTTCTCTTTTCTCCTTTGACATCTCACTCCAGTTCTTTGAGAAAGTCAATGTTGTCCACAAAGACCTGTAATGCCAAAAGTTCGCAAACTCAAAACGTGATATTCGGAGTTCTTTCCCTCAATATGAATCTATCTCAACACACCAATATCTTACCGATTTCCAACCATCAGGATCCAGACATGCGGTGATCTTCGTGCTAATACCTGGTAAGGGACCAGGTTCCCTCGTGATTTTTCCCCCAAAGAGTTTTATAGCTTCTGCAGTTTTGTACACGTCATCCGTCCCTATAGCAATCTGATAGTAATCAAACACAAGCAAACAAGTTAAAACTATGGCTATCCTCCAATTGAAAATAAATTTCAACGAACAGAATGTCAAAAATCTCTTACCTGAGCATAAGCATTTCCTTTATCATATTCAGTGACACCATAGTTATATGTCAGCTCTAGGACAGGAAATTTATCTTCTGGACCATATCCCATCATGGCTATTGTGTACTGCAAATAACCACTTACGGTAAGCGAGTTTACACAAAAAATTAAATCAAACCGATTGAACAAACAATAGTAGCAGGTTTTGCAGTTAGAAACATAGAAAAGAGAAGTTCAAGGCCGCATGAGTAAGAATTAAATTTGTGAGGCATTGCAAGTTACCTTGTACTCTGGGTTGTCTCTTGTTCGCAGAAGTTCCATTCCAAAAGCCTATAAAGAAAGCAAGCACATATGATCAGTGGATAAGAATGCATTCTGATAAAAGAAATATAAACTATATCAGATCAAAACATTTACTGTTCAGGCTATAAACTGTCACATCTCAAAACAATTTTATAGGACTCACCTTCTCATAGAACTTTATGGCCCTATCGAGATCACCAACACGGAGCATAACTTGGCAAAGAGGTTCTGGTGTAGGACCTCTTTCCAAGAGTTCAAATTTGTAACCATCAGGATCTTCAATGAATGCGATCACAGTTTTGCCACCTTTGACAGGACCAGGCTCCCGGGCTACTTTTCCCCCTTTGGCTTTCACAAGCTCTACAGTTTTCGCCACCTTTTTGGAAAGAAAGTTCACATCTTAGAAATAAGACCATAAAGTGGAAAGATTTGAGTAAAATCCAGACATATAAAACACTGTTTCAAAGAAAAGGAGGACAATATTCAATATAGATTGTAGAGGCTCACATCGTCGACAGCAATACTGAAGTGACCAAAACCAGCCCCAATGTCATACTTGTCAACTCCATAATCTGTAAACAAAATGACACTAAGAAAGCTAAGCCAACCATCTTAATATAAAATGCATAGTCTTAAGCTCACTGGAGCTAAATGAACTACAATACTCTGCATCTCGGCACTAGCATAAAAGGAGGATAAAGATACGACTTACTATAAGTAAGCTCAATCACAAAGTGTGAATCTTCAGGTCCATAACCAAGGAAAGCATTTGTATACTTCTCTTCCGGTATATCACGCTTGCGTAGAAGCTTCATTCCAAGACATTCAGTATAAAACCTACATCAATCAGATGACTCAGTTAAACTTAATCCTCCACCAAATCATATAACAGGAAATTCAAAGTTATGTACTTTATCGTCCGGTCCAAATCGCCAACACGATAAACAACATGAAGCATTCTTCTCTTATCATTTTTGACCCAGGTGAGAAGATCATCTTGTGCAGTAGCTGTACTAGCTTGAGCTGGTTTACCAGATTCAGCCACTCCTAAACAGTTTACACTTCTTCTCAAAAGCTTATGAGAATTTAAACCAAAAAGCTGTGATTGAGGAACATCTGCAACAAAATTGAACAATATAGTAATTTGTCAACGAATCAACCAGAAATTTAGGAACTTTGTAACAACCCTAGTTCTAGAATTCACTAATCAATTGAACAATGATTGATTCTAAATTCTATAGTCAACGAAAGGTGGAAGATGATTACGGAGAGTGCGAGAGAGATTTCTGGAGAGGAGGGAGATGGGGAAGCGAGGAGAAGAAGATAAGCAGGTGAGGGAAGGTCGAATGGAGGAAGCAGCCATGGGAATGATCCTGACCATCTTCTTCCTCGAGATTCAGAGCTCTCTATATGTGTGTTTATGAATGATTCTTCAAGCGGTGGCTACTTTTCCTCCGTCGGAGATTAAGTGACGACAACGGTAGAGATAAAGCTTTTTTCTTTTATTTATTTTTGGAGAATTATAAAACAAAATTGAACGATCCTCATAATATTTTAGACATAATTCTAAAATAATTAATTAAATTATAATTAGTAATAAATCGATTAGTTTTTGATGTATTTTATTTAAAAACGTTTATGAAATAGAATTTTTTTTCTTATCTACAAAACATATTAAAAACGAATAACATTATTTTTTTTTTTTTTTCTTTTTACGAATAACATTATTTATTACGCCCTCAGTTTTATTATACTTAATATTTTAGAAATTTTTGTTTGTTTCATATTATTTGATATTTTGATTTTCAATTGTTAATGAAAATTAATTTTTTAAATTGTTTTTGACTCTTTATATTATTTGATTTACTTTTTCATTGGTTACATTTTTTTAAGTATGTAATATGTTAAAATTTTAATATAGAAAAACATATAAATAAATTATTTTTTTATTCTAGGTGCAAAAATCTTTAACATCATTTAAAATGAAAAAAAAAAAAGAGAATAATAAAATATGTTTTTATTCAAACCTTTTAGTGACACCTAAAACTGATACCTTCTATAAGTGATTTCACTATGATAATTTTTTAAAATTTGTTATATCAATCACAAAACAGTTATTCAAAAAATATAATAATTATAAGAATCAAAGAATATATTCATACAAGTATAAAGAAAAAAATTAGCCTTACAAACATGTTATAGGTTTCGTTTCAAAAAATAAGTTTATCACTACATATGCATATCAAAATTACACAATCTGAATCCATTCTCCAACGCTAGGGACACCATTGTAGACGGCAAAGAGAAGATAATAACCAGGAGGAGCAACATTTCCACTAGGAGGAGCAACGGCTTGGATTTGATGATTATCTCCACCAACATTCTTGACATTGTTAATACCCAACATAAGCAACCTCATGTTCATTGATACACTATGTGTAGTAAATGATGGTGCCAACATTGTCACCATTACATTCTCCTTTGCTACGTTTTGTTGTTTAAGCTCGATCTTTACGTCAAACATTTGTCCATACTTAATCTGTTTTGGTGTAGCGGTGTTTACGATTCTTGGTCTCATATTGGCAAGAGCTGGATCAAGATAAGGTGGTGAGAATTTCTCAATGCGGAGCTCGGTTGGGTACTCAACGTTGAATTGGTAACCGTTGTTGGTGTTGCTTCCACCAACAAGAACTTTACCGTCAGGAAGAGCGATTGCGATGGAATGGTAGACGCGAGGGATAGTTGAAGGAGCGAGTTCTTTGAAACGTTTGCCTAAAGGTTTGTTAGGTGTGTACAAGAGTGGAGCAAAATTTGGGTCTTTGGCTAAGTGCCAACCGGAGGAGCCACGTTTTGCACCATTAATAATAAGAATTTCTCCATTTGGGAGGATCACAGTATCACTCATCACACGTGACATTGGCATGGTCTCTGTTTTCCATACAGGCTTAGCACTATTGAGGCTTATCCTTGCACAATCTTTCAAGGCCCAATCGTAAATTTTCAACTTCTCAGCGCGGAAGTAAGCGTCTTGTTTTGCACCACCACAAATGAGGACATCAGCGGGGATGACAGCGGGGTTTTGAACGTAGAGGCGGATGGGGAGAAGAGCCGAGGAAGCGGAACCAGGGTAGTTACGAGCACCACCAGGAAGTTGAGGGAACTCTTTGAGAACTTTATTTGTTTTCGGGCTAAGAAGAATGGATCGGTTGTTAGCGAAAATGAAGAGGTTACCATCGGTGTTAAGCCAAACAAAAGGGTAAAGATTGTTTTCTTCAGGATCATCTGTTTGTCTAAGAAGTTGTGAGTCATAAAGTTTCTTGTTGTTTTGTCCTTCCGGAAGGATATACTCGTAGTTGAGAGCGTCGCGGCCTCCAACAACGATGAAAGTGCCATCGGGAAGAGTCGCTTGTGTTGAGTACCATCTCCTTGCAGCGAGTGCCTTTGGATATTCAATCCATACACAGTTTTCGCAGGTGGAAAGGTACCTTGCCGTGTTTGCTCCTCCTTGGAATCCTCCAGTACTTACCAAAGTACCGTTTACAGTTAAACCTCCCGACGAACACCATGTGTCTGTTGTAAGCTGTCATGTTTCCATTAAATCCATCAGATCAACCATGACTAATGTAAAAATAGAAATATATTTGTAAGTTCGTCTGCGTGTTTTTAGCTAAAACATGAAAAAAGAACGGAGGGAGTAATAAATAGTAATTTTGTTACCGCAAGAGGCTTGATGTTTCCGGTGTTGATATCGACGAGGACAGAGTGAGCCCAACAATCAACTTTATTAGCCTTTTGGTCATAAACATGGCAAGCTACACCAGGAGGCAACTTGATTTGTGAAATTCTCCAAATGGTTGCGTCGTAAAACTGAACTTTATTGATCAAAGGCATCAAAATTGCGTGCATGGCTGATACACCAGAATTCTTCATGAATAACTCCCATTGTCCAGGCCAATTCATCTCAGGTCCTGCCGCGACGGTGCCACGACCTTTACCTTTGCGTTTGCCAGCTTTTGGTGGTTTCACTCCGATGGCTTCACCTTTACCTTTGCCTTTGCCTTTGCCAGCTTTTGGTGGTTTCACTTCCAAGGCTTCACGTTTAATCGTCATGCCTTCCAATGAAGTATGATCATCATCATCAAATGCATCGTTGTCTAGCTCTGAGACTGCCTTAGAAACGGCTGCCACTAAAACAATGATGGATAATATCCATAAGAGTCTTGTTGACTCTTTCATTTTCTTAACTTTTTTTTTTCTTTTTTTTAGTTTTTCACTGTTTTGGCTGGGACAATAACGAATGATGTCTAAGGTTAAATTGATTGATGATAGTTTCTGGTGAACATTGCTTTATATATTTGAGAATGTTTTGACTTGTGTTTATTTTTGACCTTTCTTTTATTGGAATGAGTGGTTGGCAAATTATTTCCTCGATACATTTGCCTGTTTTTTTGTATGGTGATCATGTGCAAGAAAAAGAATGATCGGCTATATTTCTTCTTTTTCTCACGTTAGCTTCCAGCGTTAAATTTTTTGTTATGGAAACTCAAAAATATATTTGAGAATAATGATAGAGAAAAAAAATTAAAGTTCAAAGCATCTAACCATAATTTGATACATTAGGGATTGTGTTAGCTTTAATTTCGATGTATAGTCACACTTTTGAAATTTTCCCTAGCTTTAATTTGTTGCACATTTACATACCTTCATCATCCGACTATTTAACCCCAAGAGTTTTCTAATAGAGAATAAGAATATTCAAATCTAGATATTGATTAGTTTACGTGAAATTTAACATTTTAACGAACTCTACCGAAAACTTAAATCATTTTATTTGATTATACAACAGTGACCGACAAGACAGAGAGAGAGAATGAATACACATTCATGGTTTGGCTAGTAGAGAGATCTCAATCTCTTGAAGTGTTTTGCCTTTGGTTTCAATCACGTTCCGCTTCACGAACATCACCGCCATTAAACAGAACGTAGAAAACATCGAATATAGTAGCCGAGGACCAAGCTGCTCGAGCAATCTCAGAAAGAGTAAACCCACAAAGAAATTTATCACCTGTCCAACCAGAACCAACAATGTTAAGCAACGTTATAAAATGAATCCACAATCCATGAGATGGTAAAATCGACGGGTTTATTTACCCAATGCACCGACATGCAAAAAGCCATAGCTTTTGCTCTAATTCGACTTGGGAAGATTTCAGGGAGGAGTAAACCTGGTACTGGACCAGCTCCTAAGGCGAATGTTAGCACAAACCTGTAATCGCAAATGACAATTGCATTTAGAACATGAAATATATTTGGAAAACAAATTTTAGTTTCAAGAAATACTTACGCAAGAGTGCCACCGACAGATAAACACAACGCCGAAAAATGTGGTAAGTATGAACTTGTAGCACCAACTTGAAGTGCCATTGCTACTGCCTATACACATCAACGAGATATGTGATTTTTCTTCATATTTGACAGGATTAAGTCATATTAACGTTGATAATAAGAAAACAGTACAACATACCATGCCAATAAAACTCCAAAGGAGAAGAAGCTTTCTTCCTACTTTATCCATCAACACCATCGCGATTACAGATCCTGATAACAGAACAATGTTACAATCCAAGATCCATATAATTGAAAAGGCAAAGAAACAAAAGAACAGGAGGAGAGGGCTACTCTACCCAAGAGGTTTGAAACTCCAACAAATATGTTGCCTAGGTCCGATGGTACTCCGGCACTTTTGAAAACGGTAGAAGAGAAATAAAAAACAGCATTTATACCAGATAGCTGTTGCAAAGCAAACAGGGTTGATCCAATAAAAACAACTGCAAAAGGAACAAGTGAATAACAAAGTACTATATAGGAAACAAATAGACACAACAATTAACATACATATGTGCAGTTACTTTCCCGGAGAAAAAAAAAAAGAAGAGTTATACATACCTCTTGAATGCCGACCATATAACAGTTCCGAGAGGCTCACAACATCTGGTTCATCCGTCTTGTCTAGATCTAGTTTGTATAATTCTGCCATTGCTGTTTTCACATGAGACCCTCCGAGCAGCCTCTCAAACTCGGCTTCTGCTTCAGCTATCTTCCCTTGCTGCATAAGATATGACCGTTTCAAAAATAATGTAAAATTAAGTGCAATTTTCAGGTTCAACATACAACAGAACATTGTAAAAGTGAATAATGAAGCAGACCTTGAATAGCCACTGTGGAGACTCAGCACATAGGAACATTCCCAGAGCGAGTAGTGCAGCAGGTATCGTTGATAGCCAGAAACAGACACGCCACCTGGGTACCATAATAACATAGACTATCAAAACGTTATAAATTGTGGTTTAGAGCGTCGTACAAAAGGTGATAGCAACTTACCAACCAGTGATATTATGGACTGGGATCCCTATAAACAGGGCTGCCATTAGTCCCAGACATGTAGCTATCTGTATGAAGCTTCCATATGTTCCCCTAACAAAAGCTGGTGATACCTAGTCAAAATTTGGGACATTTGCATAAGAAGTCAAGCGGCTCAAAACTTGTTGCAGAGTAAAATCCATAATCAGTACTTTGGACGCCAGCATATACGTACCTCTGTCACATAAAGTGCTGCCACAGGTGGCCCAAGACCCATGCCAGTCCCAACCAAGAATCTTCCCAAAAGCATGACAGCTAAGCTGTTGCTAACTCCACTGAGAGAAACACATTTTAGCATCAGAAACAAACCAAACTAATAAAAACGAGGCCAACTCTTGCTAAAGGATCATAATATTTTGATATGAGCTACATCAAATACACATGGCAAATCAAAATATACATTAGTGAGTGGGATCAGAATACTGGTAAAGATTATTGGTTATTTAATTTGATCTGCAAGATTTCTCTTCATTCAGCACTGTAAGTCTTTTCTTAGAGAAATGAAACAGAGAATCGAAAACATGTTGTAACCCTGAGATAGGATCTTGCTTCTGGTAAATATATGTACTAGAACAGTCACTAGATATTTGCAGGTATCAGTACTATCTCTAATGAAGAAATGGTCAACACTTTTAAGCGTGCCTTCTTGGGATTTGATTACAATAGCTTTTGCCAATTCCTAAGTCTAGCTTAAAGAAACACTAGCTGACTACACTTTAAGAACCAGAGCTCGGAGGAGATTCCCAAATTACCTTACAAAAGCACCCAAAATCATAGGCAAAGCACAAAGCTGAAAGGCTCTCCGTCTACCAAACCCATCAGCAACTCCTCCACTGAATAAAGATCCGATAAACGCGCCACCAAGACATACACTAACCACCAAACCTTTCACATAAAGAAGCAAACAGAAGTTATATAAGCAGTAAATGTGATGATTACTGCCATGTATTAAGCATTAAGAAGTAATGAATACCTTCAGCTAATGTATCACCACTAAAACCAAGATCAGACGAAATGCTTTCAAGTGGTTCATTAACAACTCTGTAGCAACCAAAAAAATAGTTCAACACAAGTAATCACAACAATATTCAAGAAGAAGAGTCAAAACCAATCACGAACCCTAAATGGTAACCGAATAGAAACGACGAAATCGTAGCCACTAGAACATGTGGAAGAGAACACTTCCATGAAGGATTTGTAGTTTCCATTTCATTGTTAACCTCATTCTCTAATACACCTGAAGACAAATTCGAAATTTTCATAGTTAAAATTTTGAAACTAGTTTCTATAAAACGATGCATGTTTTGTGCGTACCTGAGCTATCTTCGACGTCGACCATTGGAGAATAATCTCTCGATGACGTTCTCTTGTACATCGAGGATGTTTCTCGTTGCAGTCCCAACATTCGTCACCTAAGATTTTGCCAGATTCTTCTAGATCGCTTGATTTCACTGAGAATGATTCAGATTACAACAAAATTAGAAATCGTTCAACAAACACAGAGAGCTAAATCGTGAGAATCTGGATAGAGAAAGACGACGAGAGGAATAAGAAAACATTACAGATAGAGATGAGAGAAGAGAGATCGGAGAAGCTTCTTCTTCTTCTGATGAGTTCTTCTTCTGTGTCAAAGAGAAGCATCTGTGAATTGTGAAATGGGCGGTGGTTGCTAAAATGCGCTTGGGTTCGATAGTGACAAGACGACAAAAAAACTTTGCTGAATCATTAAATCTTCTCCTTTGCGTTAATTTAACGGTTGGAATGACGCACGTGTCACTTCTTAGTTTTTTTTTTTCAACGCCTATTGAGACTGGAGAATGTTTTTTTTTTTTTTTTCACTCGTGATTTAGATATTTTGTAACGAATTAATTAATAGTTTAATACTTTAATAGCAACTTGACAAAAAAATTATTTAGATAAATTTTTTTTTTATATTAGCATTTACTCAAATTAATTCAATTTTTGATTTTATTTTAAAATATGTTTTTTTTTGTAATTGAATGTAAAATTATATTCAATCAAAAATCAGTTTAACCGTAATACAAAAATTAAAGATGAAAAATTATATTGAAAAATAAAGAAAGTGGAATCCCATTTCTCTCCCAAATTTGAATATAAAAGAATTGAACAATTTTAAAAAATTTATTATTTATTCATTCATTTTTTTTTAGCTGAATGAATTTGAACTATGTGCACCAAAAGATTCATACGATAACACAAATTTGTATATACATTGTTTTGCTTATCCAACACATCAAAGTCTTTAAGCATTTTAAGTTAGCCCCAATAAGACCATTTACAGAAACTACTAACAAGAGCTCTTCCTTGTTTTCTTCTTTGCATGCAACTCTATAAATCTAAACTATTCACTCTTGAAACTTCACAAAATCTACAGACACTATTAAACCTCTAAATTCACAGAGATGTTCTTGCCTGTCTTTCCCCTCAAGGCAATGCAAACAAAGTGTCATATTCCATATCAGCTATGTCGAACAACCCATCGTCGTCATCTCCAATTAATGTCTCTGTTTTTCCAAGCTCAGCCTGCAAATATTCATTCAAGCATCTTCATTATCATGTAAGTTCATATCACTTTATCCTAACTTGTGAAAAGAAACACTAAAAACAAGTCCAGCATAATTATTATAACTTTGATTCATCTCTTGTAAAACTACTAACCTTTGTCTGACAATATCTCTTGAGCACGCGGTGGTATTGCTGGCGAGCCTCTGGAGAATTGACCATCGATAGAACACGAGAGAAAGCCTCGTTCACTGCCCCATCTACTTTCTGCTTGCGGAACACCTTGAGAATGTCCTCGTCTTCACTGTCCTCTGTACTCTCTACGTCTTGGTCTTGCCTGAACCCACTTAGCCCAACTCCTTTTCTTCTCCACCTGAGTACAACCTTATCTATAATTCCTACTGCCCAACAGATTACTCTGTAATCTTTCCTTATGCGGTAACCTCGCACATGAGCCTGCCAGAAATAAAAGAGAATAAAGAGCTGCATGAGACGCCAAAGGCTAATGGGAAACAACTATGTTCATCTCACTAAAGCTGTTAAAATACCTGAATCTTTACAACTTTCTGGCGAAGATCCAGAAACTCTTTACGACCTTTATAGCCACGATACTTCTTCTGAATAGATAAAGCTGCTAAATGGTAGTTCCTGACCTTTCCAAACGTTAGCTTCGACTTAGCCGAGATCCCTTCGATATCTTCACAATAGATCCCGTACTCTTGTAAGCAAGCAGATATAGCTGCTTCTCTTTGTTTTCGCTTTCTGAATGAATGTGCACGAAAAGCTGCCTGGATTCTTGCAGCTGCTTGAGCTGCATTTCGAACTGCAGCCAGTGTGTCTTTCAGTGAAACTTGATCCTCGTTACCAGAAGGACTTTGTTCTGAGATGGAATTCAAAGTTCTCTCTGTTTCCACTTGAGCAGTGTCTTTTGAACTCTCGGTTTCTTCAAGTGTGAGCGATGAGAGATGGTTTGTTAACGCCACCTCTGACAGATAACCTGCAAGACCCTTGTGGCCATTAGAGGCAGCTATTGAAGCTGCAGTTTTTCCATTCGGGTCTTGCCGACTGGGATCAGTCACTGCTCCAGCTGATGCCCCTGAAGCTATAAGGGCAGCCACCACTATTTCACTGCCACAGCAGAGAACACAATATTGGTTATTACTTATTAGATTCATTTGAAGCTATTGTCTAAGAAAGATTCCATCTTCAACTCCTTGTTACAGTAACTATGTGAAATTATGAGGCTAGAACATCAAGACACTATTTTCTACTCGAATCAAAAATGTTGAAATGACAGTGTTAGTCTACTCTTTATCGGCTACTCACCTTCCAAATCGTGCAGCCCAATGAAGAGCGCTCCATCCGTTAATATCACGAAAATCTACACTGACTCCATGACCAAGGATTGGATAGAGTGCCCACTCAAAGCCAAGGCCTGCAACCATATGGATAATGCCTTGTTCTTGCTTTGACAAAGAACAAGTTATGTAATCTTCATCTCGGGATCTTGAAGACAGCCATGTATCCAGCTTGTCTTTAAGTAGTTCCTGTAGAAGCCAATCAACTGTTCTTGTTGATGATGCACTGCCATCTAGGATCGTTCCAATGACATGGCTCCATTGATCATCATCAGCTTTCAGTTTCTTCAACAGCTTATCGTTGCCAGATTCTAAGTTACTTTTTCTTTCCGATGATCGGTCTGATAGAAGTGTTTGCACAAACCTTACAAGTAATAGAAGCTCATCTGGACTTGTGGACATATCAGAGGTCTGTGGCCCAATGCACTTAGGGCAAGATGTGTCAGGCTTTTCGCGATACTCAAATTCCCTTATTTCACTACACGAGAGTCCATCTCCAGAAGTAATGCATAAATTGACTTTTCCAGGAACACATGGAGGGGCTAAAAACCGAATCACACCTTCCTTAATGATCTCAAAAGGAACTTCAGCATTCCCAAACATACAAGACCAGTTAGATTCTGTTGGATCACAGAGAAATGATCCAATGATTATCACCTGCATTGTCCAAATGAAATTTTAAAACGGAAGATCACCATCATTTGTTCTAACCAGGCAAATAAATAACCATGTATATCAATCATGAGAGTAATTTATGCACTTCCACATAAGTCTCAACGAAATATTACGGATGGTGTAAGTATAAGAGATTAGACCTTTGTAGTTTCATTCGTGTAACCCCACTCTGGTGATATGTCATGGATAGTAAACTTTTGCTTATGTGCACCTGCCAGTCTCATTTCTTCCTCGAAAGGAACCCCGGTTTTCCCTTCATTATCCATCATTCTACAGTAATCATCATTATTCTCCAAAGCTCCCAGTGCAGAATAAGAAACAGGAACTTCGAAAGAACCAAGATCTTGAGGCAACAACAATGTAGCTGAAATTTAAGACAACTATCAGAACTGACCGATGTTATACAAGGTATGACGAAGCCTAAAAGTATTCCTTAGCAAAGCAGATGACATACATTGGTCAACCTGAGTGTTGTAACTCCAGTTTGAATCTTCCTGCAATCCAGCTAGCAATCCTTTTGCAGAACTTGGTGTGCTTCCCTGCTTCCGACAAAAAGTATATAAATTTCAAGATTATAAACTTTTTACTTATTAGTTTGGAAAATCTACTCTTCAACTGCCATTAGAGATTAGAAAACCATAACACATATGGTTCATTCACCGTGTTCCTCTGTATGAAGTCGGTGAGTACTACTTTGATCCCACATTTTATTTACGTTTAGGAGAGAGTTACCTCAGAGTTAAGAGGTATAGAAGCCTCACATGCCTCCAACACAGCTTTCCAAGATTCGGACCCTTGATCTCCACTCCCTCCTGTACCACCTGTAAAAAGATTGCTTCTTACTCTTCCTAATAACTATATATCATTCTTCAGTTCAGCGCAAGCCGCAAAGACAACATCATACAGAGACAAACAAGGAAGAAAGCATGATAAGACTTCAAGGGATCAATTACAGATCGTCCATAAAGTCTGGCTACATTCAATGACCAATGAAACTCACTGTGAGAACATAAATTATAAATATTTCCCAAATCATCTTTCAAATATTGAGTAGTGTCAACATCATATAGTGAGGAGATAGAAAGAAAAAACCAATGGTGTATAACTTTGGCGTACCTGAATCATTCTTTACGAGCATGAGATTGCTAGAATGGTATTCAGCTCCAACATACCCTCCATAGCATCTCTCTAGTTTGTTAGAATCATTCTTGGCATTGTATTGGGCTCCAAAATTGCCTCCATAACATCTCTCTAGTTTGTTATTCTCTGGTCTCTGATATACAGTCGTTGGTTGAACAAGGTGATCTCTGTCATTACTATACTCTAAAAACTGGAGACTATCAAGACTTTCCGGTTGAATATAGAGTGGATCAACAGAATTAACGTGTTCATCTCCGATACTCAGTTGTTCCTTAAGCATCTTTAAAGCCTGTCCAAACTCAGAAGAACTTGCACTGCCTTCCAGGTTAGAGTTAACCTCTGCAATGCCCGGCGAAGTAGATGAATGCTGATGTATGTCAGAAGAATCACCAATGTAGTGATTGTAGCTTACATTTTGAGTCCCAATGGAGTTTGGACTTGAAAAGAGAGTGGAAGGAATTGGTGCAAACTGATAAACTTGTTCACCAGTTTGTTGTCCCTGAAACGTTAAGCAACCATGAAGTCATATGATGAAACTCAAGTTCCAGCTTTAAGTATAACAAATATCGCTTATCGAGAAAAGTCACCTCTTCTCGGTCGCTTACATCCCTGTAATGAACAAGGACAATATGCTCGTATTCCCTGATATAAAGAGCAATAAACTTTATGATCATTCTTGAGAGAAAAACAGGAGTAACTTGTATACACATAGTATGAGTACATGATTACTCACGGATCTAACATCCAGTAGATACGCCTCCGAAAAGTAGGGTCTAGCTCTCCATGTGCATAATAACAATTCAAGGCCTCAGCGTTACCCACCTATTCACAAACACATTGATCAAATAGTCATTAACTACTAGCAAATCAATATCTAGGAGCATGAAATGACATCTAAAAGCAAGTAGCAACAATGTAAGAAGTCTCTGAGATCAAAAGTTCACTATCTCTAATACCTTAAGTCGTTCATGTGCTTCTGCAATAGCTCTACCATCTCTTTTTCTCCGCCATTGATGACCATCTTTACGAAAAAACTTAAGAACCCTTTTATTGAAAAGAAACAAAGACCCACCTAAGAGACAAGAGTTTACCAAAATTGATCATCAAATCAAACCTTGAATCAAAACCAAACCAGTTAAAGTCAGAGAAGCAAGTCAATCAAACATACTTGTAGGTCTTTGAGGAGCGGTATTAGTAAGCGTCAATCTTTCATGATTCTGCAATATAAACAGTACCTCAGGAGGTTTCAACCAACGACTCCGAGCTTCTTGATACAGAGTACTAATTTCATATTCTGAGAGTAAAAAACGAAAAAATGTAGTCTTTAGTCATCGAAATACATAAAGTTTGATACTTTCGAGGAAAATGGAGAGTACCCTCAAAAACTCACCAGATTGCATAACGATAGGAGTAGTAATTCAATCTACCAACACAAACATGAGATCAAGTTTGGTCTGAAGGGAGATAAGGATCGGAGCTAGAGACAGAGAGAGGAGTCGCTAAACCAGTACGGAAAGAGGAAGAAGAAGAGAAGATAAAAGACAAAGAAGGTGTAAAAATTTGACTATGGACTGACGAAATAAAGAATCTCAAGGAATAGTACAGGAGGGTTCCGACAGATGGCCACGAAGATGGTTGCTATGTCACAGGAAGGGTAATGATCCTCTGCAACGCTTCTTATTGTATTATTAGCTCATCAATAATGGATACCCACGTGGCATGATCTTGGAGTGTTGCAGATTTTATTTTTTATGGAGTCGGCAGAATTAGATTAAATAAATAAAAATTAACACGTGTGAAATTAGGCCTGGGCATATGGGTAACCCGTTCGGGTTCGGGTAAAACCCGTTCGGGTTCGGGTTGAATGGGTAATGAATTTATGGCCCATTCGGGTATTTCTAAAGATTCGGTTCCGGTCCGGTTCGGGTAGCGTCGGGTTCGGGTCGGTTTAGGTAATGAGTATGATAACCGGAAAAAACCCGAAAAATTTGGGTACCTATTGGGTTCGGGTCTAAATGGGTAAAATTACCCATAAACCCAAAATATGACTCCAATGCCCGAAGTTTTAAATCATTGTACATGCTCAAATGATCAAATAAAGAGAATAGAACATCAAACATGACATCTAAATACTAAATCCAATCCAAAATAACAAAGATGACTACTTAAGTCTTAAGTGTTAAGAGTAAATCCAATCCAAAATCACATAAATCCGATTGATTTCGAGATAGAGCTGTCGGTGGTGACGGTAAAGTCGTCGAGAGTGTAACAACGAGGGTTTTCAGTTTTGATAATGTCACTCAAAAAGGGATTTTAAGCAAAGAAGCCGATATATGAGGGATTCGAGAAGGAAACTCAAACGACAAAAGTCACAAAACTCAAAAGGTAGGGCATACATATAAGACTATATCTAATTATCTATATACATATATAAACACATGTGTATTGCTTCGGGTTTATGGGTACCCTAAATGGGTAACGGGTAATCCCCGACCCGAACCGATACCCACGGATAGACCAATACTCTACCCAATGAGGTAATTTCCTAATACCCTAACCCGCCCCAACCCAGTTTTTTCGGTTCGATTATCGGTTCGGGTATCGGGTCCGGTTTTTTTTGCCCAGACCTATGTGAAATCATGGGGGTTATGGAGGTAAAAGTACGGAAGTAGCCCTATTGTCGTTTTGACTTTGACTTGAGTACGTAGAGAAATTAGAGAGCACGTCGGCACGACGAACAAAATTACAAATTTGCCTGTGAAAAAGTTGAGGGTATAATTGTCAATCTGTTATTATTTGTGTCATCCACATCAATTTGAAGGAGAAAAAAGTGTCCTGGATCTAAAATACTCTGAAAATGATATTTGGGCTACATAGCATTTTCTTGAATTAGAAATTTGGTGATAAGATTGTATTCAAGAAAATGACAAAATAAAAAAAAGGTGGTATTAAGATATAACAAAAGTCAAAATATACGTATGTCCATAAAAAAAAATTGGAATGAACTTTTAGTGTCCTATTTTTGATGCATTTTTAAAAATATTTTTATTTACTATTTTGTCAATTGATATACCGATATTTAATGCGATAAATAATACTGTAATATAAAATTTTACTTGTTACAAAATTTTATTATAATACTGTAATTATGTTTTCTATGGTCGTCTGTTTTTCTCATGTTCTTCTAGGACATATATCGCATATGTAATGTCATTGTCGTTAGACAAACATAGTAATTATTATTACAAGATGCTTTAAATATTATTTCGGCTTTCTAAATGTTTGAATGGTTACGGTGGTTGGAGCGGACAAATCTGTTTATGAATTAGATAGCTTTTTTTTACTATTCATGAATTATAGTTCATAGTAATGCGCTATGAGAAAAATAAATAGATTCACCACGGATCAGCTATAAAGCGCTTTTATATAGAAAAAAAAAAATTGATCTTGACAGATTATTGTCCGTCCCAAAAAATAGAATGGTAGTCTGCTAACGGTTTAGTTCATTTTGTCCACAACATCCATTCAAAACCTAAGAATCTTTCTAAAACAAAAATGTTCCAAACTCGAATCAAGAGCTTGTTCATAAATTTAATTATTTATGGAGTTGAATGTTTTCCCTCCATTGTCATCTTCAATACTTCCTATTTAATTATGATCACCTACCATAGATGATTATTCAATATTCCCTTATCTTCTCTAGCAGTTTCTTTTGTACGATGTTGGGCAAACAAACAAATATAGTAAGAACTTACATCATTAAACATTTAATCATATATACCTCTCAAGTTCGGTTCAATCTTGTCCTTCTTGTTTTCATGTAATAAATTTTATGTTGGCGACCCTCTTTATTTTTGCATATATGAAGGATAAATATTTCAAAATACACAAAATTTAACTCTTTAAGAATTGGTATTTTGCATACAGATAAATAAAATTCTTCTAAAGATTAAGTTAAACGTGAAAGAAGAGTGTCTAAGGGTTTGGGTCCAAAATCTAATCCCATGAAATATAATTTGAACAACAAAACTAAACACTATTGTATAATTTAAAGTGGTTCATCACCTACAATATCAGATGTATATCCCTATTAATTTATGCTACAGATTATATTCTTATTAAAAAACAGAGGCGAAATATAAGAGAAAATCCTAGAAAAAACGAACAAGAACATGAAATACCCCCAAAATACTCTCGATAGACATTTTTTTTTTTTTGGAAGTTTACCTTCGCAACCGCGGTTACTAGCTAGATATCCACATTCTTACACGGATCGAAGAGATTAAATTACATAAGCCAACAGAGAATTTACTTCTTTCCATTCTCAACGTCTCATCATCTTCACCTTCACTCACATTGTCCACTTCAAAAATGTACATAGTAGTAGTAGCAACAACCACAATAACTACAACAATGGCTTGTGGTCAAATCTTATCATACAGTTGAATATATTATTGCAAGTCACGAGGACATATGTGTCAGTCACAGTGTGAGCAAGAGATTCACTTCAGTTTCATTGATTTCTTTGAATAATTAAAGAAACATGTTCAGGATATAAACTCCACAATAAGACAATATTGGAACAGAAGTAAGCATATGCCTGACATATGCCTAATGTTTTTTTTCTTTTCTTTATGCTTAGCTTTTAAATGGTACTATCATCAAACAGGTTTTGCATCAACTTAAAATTTTCAGTTTCATATATGTCACTGATTACATTGAAACCATAGGGAGATTAAACCGGAGCAGTAGGAGTCTTGGATTTCAGAATCTTCTGACTTTCTTCAAAGTATTGGTTGGGATGGTTGATCCCAGTATCACAGGATGTACCATAAACAGCTTCAAAGGTTAATGTGCATGCGAGCTTTACCATAAATGCGTATAAAGAAGAGCATGTTAGTTATTGCTAAAATCGACGAAAAGATTCAAGTTTTAAGTGAGATCAATCACCTGATAATGTTTGTTTCGAACTTTGTCCATTACATCTTCCATTCCACGAGAACTCAATCCCATTCTACTAAGTGCTGCTTTCAGGTTATCCTCACTGTCATCAAAGCACCAGAATGCATCAGATACATTACTTTGGGATTCACCTAATCATTCACACATCTACACTGTAATTATTGTTTCTCTTTATAGCTAGACAACGGTCAAGGGTTACAACTTCTGCTGAACAAAAGAAGCAAGCTACTTATGTGCTCGAATTCGCTTTTGCGCACATATTTATATATATAGTTCAAGGAAGGAGTTTCCGTTTCTGTAAAGATTCTCTCCTTATGTTCACTAATCAAAATATATACGAAAACTCATTATTGTCCGGCTGCTAGTAGTGTTGATATGCGATGTTGGTGATGGATAACAGATACTACATTAATAATATATAACTCTTACCCTGTTCTTTCACAGAAAGAGAACACATTTTTACTGAGCAAACTAACCTGAAATGTCGATAAGGACAGCCGTGATGATCCCCAGCACCAGGAGCAGATGTGATGATCTTAGAACAAGCATAAGGGGTATAATCCTGCAATTGCAAGGTGAATTTGGTATCAGAAGCTGATCATTGCCGCTTTCATTGACATCAAAGAAGAGATGAAAACTCTAAAAATGGCCTAAAAAGGAAGATTAGGATCTTACTGTTCTCTTGCCTTCCTTCCCATAGTTATGGCGAATGGCATACGCATACTCTTTATCAAATCTCTCAGAGCCAACCTGAGGATAACAAGGAAAAGCGAAACATGCATCTAATAGCTCAGCATTACTTAGTTATTCAAATTTGCTAGCACACACAAAAACATGGAAAAAGGGTGAGGACAACGAGAAACTTTTGCGAATCAAATTACCTTTTTTGTGAATTCTTCTCTCCAAAACGCTAAGGCATCATCCAACTTCAGACCCACACCCTACATGGCCGATAGACAACTTCAAAGTGGTACAAATAGAAGAAAAAACATGAAAAAGAACTGGTGGCTTATTTACTATGATGTTTGACCAATAGAAATGTTATTACGTCTAGCTCAAATCTAGATGTGAATCTCTCTGCATCAAGTCGCATTGAAATGCAACAAAATTTAATAAGGGGGATAGTGTATAAGGAGAAACCTTCAAAAATAGACCCAGTTGCATTCTTCCTCCATGTTTTAGATGGTGATCTTCTCGAAGCTGCATGAAAACGTTTCACATGGTACAGTTGTATGAAAACAGGATATGTAGAATCAAAGAGTTGAAAGCCATGAGGCAGCTTACTTTTTCAAATAGATGCCTCATACAAAGGGGGAAGGAACTCTTGGAAACTTGATCAATATCCTTAAGTGATATGTCAGCGTACTCATTTGACTGTGGGGGCATATTAACAACTTCAGTGATTCCAAATCAATAACAGTATATAACGAATTTAGAGGACGATACTCACCTGGGTATAATCAGGACCTAAGTAGCTTGTAGATAACGCTTCTACTATCTGAATGATAACAACAATAAGTTAAGGAAACATGGGATATGAAATAAAGCAGTTGATTTCAGCCCTATGCTTACTGGAGTTAGTCTGTCTTTTTCTCGTTCTCGAATGGTAGTCGTCCATTTTCTGCAAACAAAAAGAACAATCTTGTTAATAAAGCGTGAGGGATATAAGAGAAGCTTTTCAATATTCACATAACCATTATAACCTGTTTGTCAGAATGAGGGCCTTCGATAAATAAGATCGAAATTGTGTGACAACAAGAGAAACCAACTGCGAGGAGAAATAAAGAAATCCGAGTTATTGAAAGAGACACTACTATCTACTGAGTAGAGGTTATGTTTCAAATTGAAATAGACACCATGACTTGCCTGACTGCCAGCTACAAAGGCATACCCTTTCTGTAATAATACTCTCCGGCCAGCTACAAGGTCAGGAACCTCTTCAAAAGGAACCTTTTTTCCAGGAGAAAATGAATAAATTGATCAGATAAATGAATTCGTAGATTGTAGTATATAAACAAATACAAAAGAAGAGATAGACCTACCTTGTAGTATATGTTTTCAACTGCAAAGGATAAGAAAGATAAGAAACTTTCCATTAGAAAAGGTTCAAGTTTTATTGCTAAATAGCTCAGAGATGAAAGAAGACATAATTTCTACAACTAGATGAAGCTAAAATCGTACCGAAATACAACATGCCGCTACTATGTTATGCTTAATACTAAAAGATATCATCAACACATGCAAGACGAGGACTTAAGCCAGAACTAAGAGACATAAAATGGATCTGAAATTTAATCAGTATCATTACCATCAGATGAAATTTGACCAAGTGAACGTGCAACTAGCCCCAACCTCTCCTTCAAACTCTACAAATGGTCAAAGATCAATTTCTTCACCTCTCAATCATTTGAATTCTGAATAAACCACAATCCTGAAATATTGTATGACAATGAGCTTTCTATATACTCTGAATCTAAAAATTACCTCAAGTTCTGCCCCTATGACTGCCTTATACGGTAGTCCAAATTCTCCCACAATTGCTCTCTGTGAACAAACACAAAAAGCGAAATTTACCCGCCATTCCACATCATGACTCACCGAACAAAAAAAGAACACAGAAGTACCTGTTCTTCAATCTTTTTAAGCCGGAATCTATGGCGGAAAAGAGCGGTTTCCATACTAAGAAACCATTTCTTCAACTCATCCCTTAAGCAAAAATCCAGAAATACTAAAGTTAATAAACTACAGAAACCAAAATCTACGATAAACAAAATCCAAAGCACGGAGCAAGAGCTTACGATCTACAATAAACGAGACGAAGAACGAAATGCGAGATTATATCTTTATTGATCATTTCTGAAACATCTGAAAGTCTCATATGTTCTTTCCACAAAGTCTCTACCTATAATCAAAAGAAATTGAATTTGATTAACAAAAATCTGGAAATTGTCACTAAAAGTTCAAATTTTTATGAACTTACAAGATCATCCATTTCATTAGGGTTTCGTCCACGAGCTAATCCATCTGAGACTCCTTTCAGAACTATCACAACAAAAAATTAACAAACTTTTCAAAAACCCAGAAAGATTCTCCTCGAAAGCAGCGAAATTTTGGATTGAATTTGATTGAAACCTCGTAAGCGATCAATGGCGAAGAGCTCGAACTCTTCTAAGCGGACTTCCATGGGTGGAGCTGTAAGATAGAGGGGGAGCGTTGGAGTTGAAACGACGTCGTTAGAGACTGTTCGCTTCTGAGAGCGTATCACTTCCATTTTTACTGCTTCTTCTTCTTCACTGTTCTCTGTTCGTGCGTGAGCACTTGAGGCAAGGGTTCGTCGAGAAAGCGCGGGAAAGATGCAGGCTCAGAAGCGGGAGTTTCTCTGTTGGGCCTATTAATGGGCCAAGAAGATAAATGCCCATTAATAGAAAATTAAACCAAATGACGCAACAAACCGGAGAATCAATGATCAAATGGAATTAAATCAAAGTGCATACGCTAGCACTTTATCATGTTTTCATTGTGAAATATTTTTGTAACATAATAAGAATAATACGCATGATCAATTATTTGCATTAAGGGTACAAGATACAAATCAATGAAAAAAATGTTAAAACAATATATTTCAATAAAAAACTTATAATAGAAATATGTGATTTATGGCTGTTTAAATCATTTTCAACCGATTTTAAGTGTGTATTAACTATCATCGTACAAACATCATGTCTCAATGATCCAAATTATTGAAATATTCTTTTTTCTTCAAAATATTTATTGGGTCATGAAATGTAGTATATGATGATGTTGATGCTTAAGAAAAGAAAAAGTTTAATCTACAAAATTGTCATTAATAGCTTTGAGATTGTTATGTTGGAGATAATTACTTATTATGTTTTGATTGAATAAAATATAAAAATAATTGTCATAAACGCAAGAGTGAATTTAAAAGAAGTGAAATGCAATTTTGAGACATTGTTGATCCAAATGTGCATTGTTGAATCAACATAAACTCTTTCTACAAATATGTTGAAATAACTTTTACTTCTATTACTCAAACATGTTAGATTATAATTGAAATTCACCAATCATTTATAAAAAGTTATAAAAACAAATACATTTGATTAAACAAAACGTTTGAAACCAAATTAAGTGATTTTTAGTTCTTTAAATATTTTTAACCTACGTGAAATATTTTATATCTTTTGGTTTATATCAACTTTTGTCGAGTGAACACCAAGGTACTTGATCTACAATAATGAAGATGTTTGTAAAAAAACATAAATGTGTCAACAAAGTTTGTAAATGAGATACACATTTATTTTAGAAGAAAATTAATTAACATACAAGAGTGTTGTATATAGTTTTGAAATTATTTTGTCGAAGACAAATACTAATAAAAGACGCAAAAGACGAATTTAACATGTTGTTGATCTATCTATTCATTGTTAATTCGACACAAATATGGTTCAAAAAGATGTTTAAATAACTCTTATTTATGTAAACCAAACAAATATTTGATTGAAGTCACCAATCACTCATAAAAAAAATTAGAAAAAAATATTTGATTAACGTAAAATTTGAAACAAAATTGAGTTATTTCAACATCCTTGAGGTGGTTTGCGGGAGTAGACCACATTACAAAATCAGAAATTCATTCTACTACTTCAAATCTTTTTCTTACATATAATATAAGTAAAAAAACCCAAGACCAATTCGTTGCAAGATCAAAAACAATTTTAACTACATGGAATTGGTTTTTCTTCTAAATAAAATATATACATATTTTATTTTACAAATACTACTTAATGTTTAACCAATTACCATATATAATCATTGTGACCCCAAACCAATTCAAACAAATCAAGTCATCTATAGGTAATTCATAAGGAAATTTCTTGAGGTCAACTCTCATACTTTTCTCTAATTTCTTTGATTCATCTGCTGACATTTTCTACAAGTTATTTTCTGCAAGTCAACCAACATTCTCATGAAGAAAATAGAAAAGAAAGTGTTTACGAAAAAAGTTCGAACATCCAAAGCCTAATTGGGGTTGTGTGAGAGAGAGAGAGAGAGAAACGTATTATAGTTGTTTCATATGGCTGGAGCTATGGAATTACTCAGTTTCTTGATAATAGCTTCATTCCATGTGATCTTGATGGCATTAGCTCAAGATGGTAACCAATTTGTGCATTACGACTTCAGGAAAGCAGATCTGTACATAGATGGAGTTGCAACGATCGAAGATGGCCGCTTGAAACTTACTAATAGTTCAAAAAGAGCCACTGGGCATGCCTTCCACAAGACACCGGTAAATTTCAGAAATACGTCATTTTCTTTTACAACTGAATTTGTATTTGCAATCATACCAGACGAGAGTACAAGCTACGGTCAAGGAATGGCATTTGTTATAGCTCCCAGTGTTGATTTGAGGTATGGTGCGGCAACATCTTATTTGGGGATATTCAATAGGACGAATGATAACAAAACCGAAAATCACATCTTTGCTGTAGAGCTTGACACTAATGCAAGCTCCGAAGCACTTGAAGAAAGTGATAACCATGTAGGGATAGATATAAACAGTATAATCTCTGTCTACTCTGTTGATGCTAGTTACTTTGATGATACCAAAGGATTGAGGAAAAGCCTTGTGCTTGCTAGCAAACAAAGAATTCGTATCTGGATCGAATATGATGGTGAGCAGAGATTGCTAAATGTAACTCTTGCTCCACTTGAGACCCCAAAACCAAGTTTGCCTCTTTTGTCAAGATCTATAGATCTTTCTAAGATCTTCAAAGAGCAGATGTTTTTCGGTTTTTCGGGTTCGACGGGTACAATCAAAAGTCACCAATACATCCTTGGATGGGCATTGTATATAGGCGGAAAAGCACAAAGCCTTGACATTTCTAAAGTTTTGGATCTCCCTCGACCACCGCCTAATCATATGCCGGTTATACTTGCTTCTGCAGCAACAATTGCATTTTTGATTATAGCAGGTGGAATCGCATTCTTTTACCACCAAAAAAGATTTGCAGAGGTGTTTGAACAATGGGAACAAAAATATAGTCCTCAAAGATTTTCCTTTAGGACACTCTACAAAGCAACAAAAGGTTTCAAGGAGAACAGAGTACTTGGAGCAGGAGGTTTTGGCAAGGTTTATAAAGGAGATCTTCCTGATGGTACTCAAATTGCAGTTAAGAGAGTCTCTCATGGTGCAGAACAAGGAATGCAAGAGTATGTTTCAGAAATTGCTACTATGAGCAGACTAGGTCACATGAATTTGGTTCAACTACGTGGTTATTGCAGAAGGAAAGGTGAATTGCTATTGGTCTACGAGTACATGCCAAATGGAAGTCTTTCTGATTACTTGTTCCACGGAAACAATCTTAGTTGGTCTCAGAGAGTTCATATAATAACGGGAGTGGCTTCTGCTCTTCGTTATCTACATGATGACACGGAAAAAGTTGTGCTGCATAGAGATATAAAAGCTAGCAACATTCTTTTAGATTCTAATTTAAATGGGAAGTTGGGAGATTTTGGGCTTGCTAGAGTCCATGATCATGGCGAGATTCTTCAACCCACACGTGTCGTAGGAACCATTGGTTACATGGCTCCAGAAGTCACCACATTGGGCGTGACTAATAAGTTGACTGATGTGTATGCATTTGGAGCTCTCATCCTTGAAGTGGTTTGTGGTAGGAGGCCAATAGATCTAGAGAGATCACTCGAACAAAGGATTTTGATTGAATGGGTTGCCAGTTGTGGGAGAAGAGGTGGTTTAATAGATACTGTTGATAGTAAACTAGCAGGCAACTTTAGAACTGAAGAGGCCAAGTTACTTTTGAAGCTAGGCATGCTCTGTTCTCAGAAAGACCCGGAAAACAGACCAACAATGAAAGATATAACAGAATATCTACAAAAAAAGATTATGCCAAACATAACGTTTGATATAACTGAAATAGGCATACCTATTGTACCTCTGATATGCAATGAAATGACACCATCACATGGAACTACCTCCTCAGTTGCTAGTTTCTGGTATGACACTATCACAGTGTTATTTCGCGGTCGCTGAAGCCTGCCTGCATCACAAACTGCTACACTTGCAAGAAATAATTTCTTTTTAAACTGCCTTGTCGTGAGGTGAATGATTGTGTTGTGATATGTTGTTGTGTGCAAATAAATATTGGAAGAAGACTATGTATATATATGACCACAATCTTCCCAAATGTATGAAAGTTTACAATTTGTATATATCTTCTGTATCAACACAAGAAAACAAAGAACTTGCGACAGAAAAGCATGCTAGACACAACTAATGATGGAATGACTAAAATACCTTAAAATGTTGTTAGTACACTTAAACCACCGCTTAAGTTACTCTTCCATGGTTCCATCTAATCTCATCGCCTAGAAGTTATCATGGTGGTTGAACACTTAGCAACAGTTTCAGCACTATTTAGGCTCCATATGGTAAATACTATATACAATAAGAGTACGGAACAAAAGTTAACGAGATAGAAACGAATGAAATATGAACATAGTAGATAAATATTTTCATGTGCAATTTTATTAGTGCTAGTTTACTTTTTAGTTTAAATTAATTCATGTCTAATGAAATTCTAAAATCTAAAACTAGTTGCATCCCCTAGATAGACTCCATTACCCGGAAAACTATCTAAGTCTTAAAACGATTACGAAGAATAAAACCACAAGTGCCAACTAAGATTAGGATGTAAACAGTATGACCCGAAGGACAATTCTATAAGAAGACAAGATCCACGACGACCACAAAGTAGATAAAACAATTTATGCATTATTAATACAACATTGCCACCCAAGAGTGGTAAAGAGACAAATGCATGAAAGCAACTTGACGAGACCGCTTCAACATGGACGACCTGACGAGACATTGACTGACATTACGACACCCGCTGGATCAGACTCACCCTTCTCAACCCCCAAACATGTCTACGACTCACTGGAACAGACCACAAATTGAAACACATCGTTCAGAGACACTCAACTCTATAATATTTTTTAACATAGTTGGAGTCAAATATTTCATAAACAAATAACCTTTGCTTTCACAAGGCATAAAATCTACACCGGTTGTTACATATACGAGTTTCAGAGGCAAACAATTTATTAACAAACAGAGGTGACCACATAGATATGTCGCATGACAAACCTGATCGTTCTCTTCTGGTGCACGGGAAGGAGATCCATTCGACTGATCCCCTGGTTTATCAGCTCCACAGTTTTGCCTGTTGCATTTGCTCCTGAATGGATAGTTTATATTTCCACAATTATCACACTTCCAGCTCCCTTCCGGTGCATTTTGTTCTGAAAACAACACATATCCCTATGTCACTCTCAAAGTTCATCAAATAAGCTGCAATATTTAGGAATTTTTAGGGGCTTACTGGATATTTTATCTGAGCTTCCACCCTGCTGCAATTATAAGAGTTTAAAGGTCAGAAATCAAGAAAACAATTCCAAGATCTATCCAAGTACGCCACTACAATTAAATAAGCAAGCTGTTTTATGACAGCCAAATTAACCAGTCAAGCCCTAGAATTCAAAATAATGTATATTTTCACTCTATAGGACAGTTAAACTGAAACGAAAAGCAGCACACACCTGGGAACCAGGCTTTGGAGTGTTGCACTTCCTCATGTTACATACAATTCTGAATGAGAAGTTTACATTACCACAATTCGGACATGTCCAATCATTATCGCGAGTTGAATCTGTAAATGAACAAAACAGGATATATCAAGTTGACTATCACTATAGAATGGGAAAAAGTATAACCCTTTTAGCACATACCTCTTTTTTGTGACTTTTCATCTGGGTAAAACCTTGGTCTTGGCATCTGCAAAAAATGGCGCACACATATTGTGAAAAGATTTCAGCTCATGTTAAAAGTCAAGGACTTAAAAGATCTTGCATGCGATCAAAACCAAGCATCTTACTGTTATACATACCATGGCAGCGGCAGCACCAGGACCCATTCCCATACCAAGGCCATACCTGTCTATTGGTGGAGGCATTCCATACATGCCACCTGACAAAAAAAAGAAACCCAACAATGCACCAGCCAAATTAGATACAGGTAGAATGGTAGTAACTGGAAGACTTGACACCAATTGGGAAATAGCCAGAAACCAAAAACTGATTGAAATTTACATACCACTTCCCATCATAGATCCGCCATGGTATGGTGGTGGTCCAGACATATGTAGTGGTCTGTAATGAGCTCCGGTAGGAATTCGATTATTGTAGTTAAAATGATAAGGGGAACCCCCAGAAAATGGGACATCATAAGGAGGCATAGACGACCCATTAAAGAGAGAAGATCCATATGGTGACCCGCCCATATATACTGGAGGGGGACCCCCAGATCCTAAATATGGTCCGGGTGATGAGAAACCTTGTTGAGGTTGCATAGGTTTGGGAGCAGACTTCTGTTACAGATATGCAACAAATAGGTCATCAACGAGCATCAAACTAAAATAAAACCAAGTCGATAGACAACATATGGTTCTAGATTTGAAAGAACATCTTCTACTTCCTTAAATGTAATCGAAGTACCAAACCTAATAGACTGGACAAAACACTAAGGCTGGTCTTCCACTTCAGTTCTTATTCTCATAACAAACACCTGGAAATCCTTATCAAAAACTACTCACCATCCTAAGTGTCTATACATGTGTAACTCAAAGAGCTTTATCTACTAAGACCGATAACATAAAGATTATGGTTATACATCATGACATGAGAAAAATGATCCTAATTCAGCCCCACGCCAAGAAGCCAATAACTGTTTTGCACACAAACTGTTTTAAAGCAGAAAGACATATATTTGATATTGCAATACAAAATGACTTACTCCATTATGATCTGCAGGTCTAGGCTGAGTGCAATTACGCATATTACAAGTTGTCCTGAATGAAAAGTTGACATTGCCACAACTTGGGCAGATCCAATCATCTTCTCTGCGCCCCCCTATCCACAACCAAAAGAGTAATCCAAACAGCTATTCATATTTGTAGTATGAGAAACATACAGTCTGGAATCTAAAATCCTTTATAAACATGTACTACTGAGACGAAGGCTCCGTATACATATAAACATACAATCCGTATCGATGGCTCCGTATACATAAATCGATACACAGGGTAATTTATAATACTAAATGCATGCAAGAAAATAGAATGTAATGTACACACAGAAACTTTCGTCGGGTCGAATTATCCGAAACTATACTCTTCAGAACACAACAATATAGTTTTCCAAGGTAGAAGAAATGTCATACCGTCAGTTCTAGCACGCTTGGCTGCTGATGAATTTCTGTTGTCTACCTAAAAAAATCGAGAGCCAATCAGTCAAATTCAACCAGATAAAACGATTCACAGATCAGTGGTACGATTCAGAGTCGGGGAATTGAAATTGAATGATTCAATGTGGTTCTAGTCATCTTAAACCATAGAAAACGATCACGACGCAGAGCTCCGTGTCAGATCTGCGATGTTCAGGCCTAGAACTATAAGAGTAAGACGGGACCAACGAATAGAGTGGGCAGTGTTATTACCTGTGACATAGCTGTGGAATGGACTGAGAAGTAGAGAGACAATCGGAGAAGGAGGCAGTGCGGTGGCTAACGTCCCTCGGCGATTTCACCTTTGCCCTAAGATTTTAGTTCGACGAAAGGAAAAATAGCACAAGATGTTTTTATATTTTAACGAGAAAAAAATAAAAATGAAATTTACTTATTTATTATTCTCAGAGAAATTAGCCCAAATGAAATGATCATATTTATAAAAAAAAAAACTTTAAAACCAAGGAGGTTTATTGGTTTTTTCAAAGAGTTAAAAAAACATAAAGATTTTAATGTTTAGACCCCAAAAAAAAAGAGACTTTCATGTTATTCAATCTTGAATTTCCAAAACTCTATTAAAATGGTGTTATTGGTTTAGGTACATTTTTAAAAAAAAATATAATCATCTAATACAGACATCAAATGAATATATTACTTTGGTCAGCTATATGTAGTCATGTCTAGAGTAAAATCAAAATCAGGATTGAAGGTTCTATTCAAAGACAACAAAAGGAAACACCAGACAAAAAAAAAACAAATGTTGTTTTTAACGAAATTTTTCAGAACCTTGAATAAATTTGTCATCTGATTTTAAGATTTTGTAAAAATGAATAATAATTTTTGCCTTCTACCTATTTTCCGTAATACAAATTTCTATATTTCTCTATAAATGGACATCCTTAAATATAATTTCTATATTTTTATAAATTTCTATATTTTTTATAAATTTCAGTATTTTTCTATAAATGGACATCTATAAAGAATGAATAAGTATGATGTACAATTTGAAGTAGGCCTGGGCATATGGGCACATCATACTTTATTACGGAAAGATTCGGATAAAACCCGTTCGGGTACGGGTTGAATGAGTAATGAATTTGTGGCCCATTCGGGTATTTCTAAAGATTCGGTTCCGGTCCGGTTCGGGTATCATCGGATTCGGATCGGTTTGGATAATAAGCATGAGAACTGAAAAAAAAAAACAAAAAAATTGGATCCCCATTGGTTTCGGGTCTAAATGGGTAAAATTACCCATAAACCCGAAATATGACTCCAATACCCGAAGTTTTAAATCATTTTACATGCTCAAATGATCAAATAAAGAGAACAGAACATCAAATATGATATCTAAAGACTAAATCCAATCCAAAATCACAAAGATGACTACTTAAGTCTTAAGTGTTAAGAGTAAATTCAATCCAAAATCACATGACATCGGAATATTCGGTGACGGTAGGTCGCCGAGAGTGTCGCGACGAGGGTTTCCAGTTTCGATAATGAGACTCAAAAGGGGTTTTAAACAGAGATTATCGAGGGAATAGGGATTCTAAAAGGAAATTAGGAAACTCAATCGTCAAAACTCAAAAGGTAGGGCTATATGACTATATGACTATATATCTATATACATATATAAACACATGTCTAAAAGCTTCGGATTTATGGGTACCCTAAATGGGTAACAGGTATTCCTGACCCGAACCGATACCCACGGGTAGACCAAAACTCTACCCAATGAAGTAATTTCCTAATACCCTAACCCGTCCCAACCCGATTTTTTGGTTCGGGTATCGGTTCGGGTATCGGATCCGGTTTTTTTTTCCAGGCCTAATTTGAAGTGAACAATGTGACTATTGTTCAAAAAACCATACAAGGCAGAACTTCCAAGAAAAATTATAATTTAAGATGTCCATTTAAGATTATTTCATACTTATACTTTTCAACCAAAATGCATTTAAGATATCCTTGTTGCTACTATCATATAAGCCATGGACGAAACCTTGAAAAGCACTTTTAAAATGGATGACCAACGCTAGGAGATTAAACATCTTGGACAATGATATCTTAGATGTAAGAGGCCTACAAAGTGTTTATCAATTGGCTCCCAAATTTTGAGGAGCGACCATGCATATAATAATTAGATATAAAAAATTTATAGGAAAATCGTTATATATAGACACTTTTCTATATTAAAGTGGTAAACAAAATTTCTTGTATTAATGTAAATAACAATTACATTTTAACAAAACTTAAATTGAAACATTGGAGTTACAAAACGTAACCAATTGTTTAATTAAATGTATATATACTAGATCATCACCCGTACTACAGTACGGGTTAAATTTTATTTATTACAAAATTTATATATTATATATTTTAGAATAAAGTTGTGATATATTATAATAGTAATTGAAAAAATATAATTAGATTTTTGTCAGTCCCTATATATAATATTAGAATGAATATCTTTTTTTTAATTATACTCAATTATGGATTTTTTTTAAAGATATGAAAACAGAAAATAAAATTATTTTAATAAATTAATAAAGTCTGAAAAATGAGTAAATTTATATTAACAACCACAAAATGAGATTGCATATAATTCAGTTAGATCAAAAATCAAATAAATGAATCGCTTCTAAAACGTAGATTATTTTTAATTAATTAAGATAGTTAGCTATTATTTTGAATTAATTTAGAAAATTCTTTTTTCAATTTCTAATTCTTTGGTTGTTGAAATAGAGATTTGTTTGAGGTAACTACGGAATTTATCAATTATTCGCGTAATCGAATATGTTATGAACATATATTTAGTATATAATATACCAAATTCAACCCGTGCGTGGAGTCTATATTTTTATTTTAGAATCCTAATGAAAATATTGCGTGCACAATCTATTATTCGTTATTTCCAAAATTGCTTGCACAATCAAATTTTCAAATATTTTGAGGTGTCAACCTTATTTAATCTATCTGATCATATAATCTTAACATGCCTTCTATTATAAGGATCATAATTTTATATCATATAATATATTACATGTAACCCTCTGCCTACTATAACTATTTTAAATATATCTTTTTAGAAAATTATAGTATTTATAATTTTTTTTTATCTTTTTAATCTATTAAATATTTATGAATTATGATATTCATTAAAATATTAAATTAAACTATTTTTAAATGTTCCAATTAAAATCTTTAAAAATATTTCTTTTAGTATATAAAATTATGAATTTCAAAAAAGAATTATATGAAATTAAATAGAAATATTCAAACAATTATAAGGATCATAACTCATTTGTTAATATAATATATTATATTTAACCCACTGCCTATTATAAATATTTGTTTACAAAAATCAAATTAGAATATTTATTGATGATATTCTTTAAATATTGATGATATTCTTGAAAAATATCAAGTAAAACTAATTTTATATGTTGCAAATTAAAATGTTTAAAAATTTTATTATAGTATATAAAATTATACATTTCAAAAAATAAATGTATGAAATTGAATATAAATATTCAAATTCTGACCCGTTACTCAGTCTAAATTTTTGTTGAACTTATTTTTGGTTAAAAGAAATATATTACTCAAATGTGAATTTTTGACCCGTTAAATTTTTTTCTTCATAGATTTTACAATTTAATTTCGTTTTTAAAAATTCAAATCTTGGCATATGGAGAAAAAAATTACTTTTTTTTGTTTATATGGATGATATGATGATTTAGTTGTTTCATAAAAATAGAATCATATAAAGATGAGAGGTGAACTATAATGATTAATAACAAATTAATATGGTAAGTTAGATATCAAATCTTATATGTTCATTTTGATTGGTCATTCTTTTTTTTAAATTAATAATATATTTTCGTTTTTAATAATTAAATTAATTAAATTGCATAAATTAGTATTTGACTTGTTTATCCTTAATGAGCTGAATTAATTTACTCTTTAAATTTTTATCTCTAATGGCATTCTTAAGTAATTTTTTACAAATGAGAAGGTTAGTTAAGGGTATCTTATAAAGTGTACTCCCCAAATAATAGTATAAGATACTAAAAATTATGTATGGAAATATTTTAAAAAGGTAAAAATGATTTTGTTATCCATATGACCATATATTAATATAGGTAATTATCTATTATGTTGATAAGAGTTAGGATATATTAAAAAAAAAATCAAAGTGTTACTGACTACACTATATAGATTTATTATGTATATCTTTAGTTATTAGACTTTTACTTTCATATTTAATTTTGTATAATTATATTTTTGGTCATAAATTTTAAAGCTTACAAAATTTGATAATTTTCTATTCATAATTTCAACAGCTATAAATCTTTACTTATTACCCTTTTAAAACTTTTCTCATTAAAATGTAAATAAACTACATTTGATCAGTTGAGATCTATTCTTAAGAGAAATTAGTAAATTAGATTAAAAGAACAACGAGGATTGATCAATCATACGTGTCATTAATGATTGAGACGGACGTGCTTCACATTCGTTGACTCTACCATTAGCATTATTTCTCCACTCTCTCATCCGATCTCTTCACCTTGTATAACCATATACTCATCAGCCTCTCTCAAACCCAAAAAAAAAAAACAAATCAAACATGATTCAAGACAAGTCGAAAGGTGCAAAGCAAGCCCTTCTAGAGCGGCCATGGTTCCTCGTGGTTGCTCTAGCTGGTCTTCTAGGTGGCGCGATGCTCATCACAAGCTTCATCCGAGCTACGGACAACACTTTGTCACTATGCTCGACAGCTAAGAACACAGCTGCGTCCATAGCCGAATACTCAGCCACCCCAATCCAGCTCCAGTCCATCGTCCACTACGCCACCTCACAAACCGTCCCACAACAATCCTTCGAGGAGATCTCGATCTCGTTAAACGTCCTTAAGGAGCGTCTCCCTTGTAACTTCCTAGTCTTTGGCCTCGGCCGCGATTCCCTCATGTGGGCCTCCCTCAATCCAGGTGGCACTACTGTGTTCCTGGAGGAGGATCCTGAGTGGATAGAGGCCGTCCTCAAGGACGCTCCATCCCTCAGGGCCCACCATGTTCAGTACCGGACCCACCTTTCGGAAGCCGGCCGCCTTCTCTCTACCTACAAGAACGAACCCATGTGTTTACCAGCTAAAGCTTTCCCGATCCGCTACAACGAAAAGTGTCCCTTGGCGTTGACTTCACTTCCTGATGAGTTCTATGATACCGAGTGGGATCTGATCATGGTGGACGCACCAAAAGGGTACTTCCCGCTGGCACCAGGGAGGATGGCGGCGATATTTTCCTCAGCCGTCATGGCACGTAACCGGAAAGGTGATGGCACAACACACGTCTTCCTACATGACGTTGACCGCTATGTAGAGAAATCTTTTGCCAATGAGTTCCTTTGTGAGAAGTATAAGGTCAACTCCGCAGGTAGGCTCTGGCACTTCGAGATACCTAACGCTGCTAACATGACCAACCAGCCAGGTGACCGGTTTTGCTAGAGTGCGCCATTATTCGTTCTTCGTTACTTCTTTTAATTGGAACACCGCATAGTTCTTTTAAGTTTAAAATCGTCTTATTAAAATATAAACTATCCAGAGGCAACTCATTAAAATAAAGTATGTATTCTGTCGTTATTACTCTTTGTTTCATCATATGGTTTTAAGACATTTAATTTTCTTATTTAAAACATACAAGTATATGGAAAATTCTGTCTCATTTTGTGCTATATATATATATTTTTGACATTGGCATCATTTTTAGTGAAATGTGAAGAGAGATTTATATGAATTTTTTAAGATACGATAGGAAACAATTTAGACTGGGGACGGTGGTAACTAATTTTAGAATCTCAAAACACCACACTCGTACTAAGCTAAACAGAACATAGTTTTTAATTATGTTGTAAATCCACCAAACAGAGATGTTTGTTAGACTCGGCCAAACTTGAGACTCTTCGATATATAGGACTAAACGACTAAGATAGCTCACCAAAAATCATAAACGAATGGTAAGATTGGATATATGGACGGAACACGCCTAAGAGCTAACTCACCGGGAGGGATCTCAGTGATAAGTCGAGGAATGGAGGGATACATTCTTACTTTGAATCCACAAAAGACTGTTTGAACATATAGTTAAACATTTTAAAATAATATTCGATAATCAAAAAGTAAAAACAAGAATACTCATCATCAAATCAAAGATTAGAAGTACACATAATATAAAACCAAAATTTTTTTATATATACACACATATAATAATAATTACTCGCAACCCATTAATACTATGAACTGTAGAAGAGTGGAGCAATGACATAAACGACGAGAGTAATATGCTCTTATAGCGTCTTCATCAATAAGAACCCCGGCCCATTGGGTTTCTTAAACCATTTTTATAGCGTCTTCATCAATATATCTCATTTGAGAACCTTTTTTACTCTCTCTCTCTCTCTTATTTTTCATTTTTTTTTTTTTATATGATGAAATATTCACATGAGAGCCTCTCAATGAAGTGTAATAAATAAATTTCTTAGAATTTCAATGTTGACACATTTTTTTTTTGTTAAATCATGAGAGTTCTGGCACTTCGGATCATAATCTCCTCCGAAAGGAGATTGAACATGGGCACAAGGAACCAACTAGTAATATCATTAGGTCACCGTCTCTTTGGTACAATTAATAATTGTAAAGCCCAAAAGTTAACTACGGGCCAAGAAAAGTCAATACTTATGAGCCCATTAATAACCATCGACCCTTTTCCCAGCCAATCTAAGCAATACTGAACATATTGTATATCAATCTTGATTACTGATTAAGAGCTTATGTTCAGTATATTATTTGCTATAGAACATGTTTATAGGGGTGAATCATTCCTATACGTTTATTCGCCACAAACATTTGGTGATCATATTGTTATTATTTTGGTCATAGACAATCCGTATCTATGTTAGTCGCTAATAGCCACATATTTTTCAGTATATATCCGCCCGTCGCATGTATCTACCATTGGCAACATATGCATAGTTTGCCACACAGCCATAACCACGGATTTAAATTGTGGCCGTCTCTGGCAAAAAAAAGAAGAAGATAACCATGAATTTTAGTGATACATATAGTGCTATATCTTTTGACTCAATACTTTGACTGGAATGATACAAAATGTGTCCAAAAGTTTGCAATGGTAGCTATCCAAATATGGCACGTTTCTAATTCCAAATTATGCTTCGGTCTTTAAACTCTTTTACGTGCATTTGCACCTAAGACTAATGTGCAGAATACATGACTAGAATGCTGAAAGCATATAGTTTTGGAAAATTTTACTTACAAATATCATTTAAACACCACGTCAAAAAAAAAAAAAAACTTAAACCGTGTCGACTGTCGATCACCTCTCAATTCTCATTAAACCAGTTTCCTAAACCGGAACTCGCACATATATGTGTTCTATGAGAGATAGACGTAAAATACAATATTTCTAAGTCAAATTCAAATAGAATAAGAAAGATGTTGATATATGTCCCGAAGGAAGTCGACAAAGGCAATCAACATATTATATAAAAGAACATTGTACCGGGACTTAATATTTCCAATGGCAGGTTGCGTACATGTATATAGATTTGCAATTTATGTCGTTATCACTAAGACACCAATAGTTAAAGAACTATTAACCGAAGATGAATAGGCTTCAATCATAACCAACCTTTTCTTGTTGGAGTTATCTCACATAATATCGAAATAATATCTATATGCATGCTCACACATCACACTATTGTCATTATATATTATCTTGGCAATGGATGTATACTCTTAGAAAAAAATGATACCGTGTCTTGCTAAAACTGAACTACATATGTTTTTAAGAAATATTAACGTGTTGTTAACTAGTCACTATTTCATGACCTAAAAATCAACTTTAAAATCACAATTTTCTTACTAAATTACGGATTTTTTTTTTACGGATTAGTAAAATCTTCAATGGTCATTTCGTTGCAAAATTGAAAATTTTTAAAATTTCAAAAATTAGTTTAGACATATTTTCAATTATTTTCTTTGACGTAGACCTAATTTTCAATTCTTTTATTAAGATTTAATAAATACAATATATATGCAACTGATTACCGACTACTCCGCATGCCATTACAATTTTTCACAACGAGACAAATGGATATAATATAACCAACATATACAAATGGTTAGTAAAAAATGAAACCGCCAGTCTTGTAACAAGAGTTGGATTATTTAGATCGAAATTAGATACCGACCGCTAAAATTTGAACAAAAGTTGGATTATTTTAATGAAAATTAGGGCAACAATGGCTTGTAGAACTAACTGTTCTACCACCTCTCGCTTTCAAACACAAATCATAAGGCCAAAGTTTAAAAGGCGGCGGCTGTATATGTCATGAGCATATGCATTTAGCTCAAATTGTGATTGCAAATGGATAATATATTCTATTTCGGGTCAACGTAAAAAAGGATTAGTGAGTAGATTAAAGTTAGATGAAAGGGCACTCTCAAGCTCGTAATTTGTCTACCTTTCAGTCACATCTCAACTTGATTAATCCTATCCCAATCTCATGCATGGCTTTCGTAAACTAAATTACGAAAATGTTTATTCGAAATCCAAAAATTGATACTGTTAATCTTGATACGTTTGATAAGTTATCATAATATTAGCATATCCCTGACAACCAAAAATAACAAAATTAATGGAAAAATGTGTGATCAATATATGATGCGTAAAATTGAAATACAAACGCCAATAAAAATATTTATAGACATGTATTCTCTTAATTGGGCTAACAGTCAAGGACGGAGTAATTTTCTACTTAATATCTGGTTGGAAAAAATATCGATATGAAAAAAACGTTGAGTTAACAATATTTTTGTATAACGACTCTGACAAAAACCAAAAAATAAGAAAAAGAAAAAAGTTATACAAAAGATCATAGTGTTTTTTTTTTCTAACTCAAATTCGTTTAATTATATTTATAAAAAAAAAAAACCAAAATAGCAATAACTAAAAAAACTCCCTACAAGCTATGATAATGGGAAAGTTCAAAACAAAGTCGTTAATCGCTAAATTTGTATTTTTCTTTTCTTAAAAATGAAATTGACGAGAAAGTAAGATAGCAAAACTGGAAAAGCAGCCTTAAACGTGCCAGCCAACATCTCGAGTGTCTACGCAAAAAGTTGTATGATCAATATTCAGTGTGTTGTCTCAAGAAATATTAGTCCGTGTAATGATGTCCCGTAAAGTACCGGTATGGAAAGAATCAGTCCTAAAGTATTTCTAGCTCATCACTAGTATATTAACATCCTCAAAACCAACATTTTTTTTCTTAGATTTACCATGAGTATTCAAATTTTGCTGAAACGTCGACTAATTCTAGAGGTGGACTGTGGACATGTTCTTTGGTTCAAGAGTGTTTCGCAAATTCAACACAGATAAACATCTGAGCCGAATCTCAAATACCTAAATGGCCTTGCGAAAAATACCAACATGTAATTCAAAATATCGGATTACTCTTAAATTAGAACATATGATTCAACAACATAACATGTTGACCTGCTTCTTTTGCTTGCCCTTATGCTCCGTATTAGCTCATTATTTTTTCCACCCATATTTTTTCTTTTGTTAAATTATCATTTTTTATCTATAATTCCCCTGCATCAAATTTTCATTTATCCTACTAGTTCTTCAATGCTAAATTTAGGTTAATCGGTTCATAGGAAACTCCAACAAAAGGATATATACATCACTGAATTATCTAAGTTTAGAGAAACTACTCATGCACCTTAATCATTATTATTTTAAAACAATATTTTCTAGATATTAAAAAGAAAATGAAAATAAAACATGCGAAGGGCTCTGTATGTCTAGTGTAGTTTTCAGCTGACCTTATAAAGAAATGATTAATAAACTTTGTCGTAGGTTCATATCATGACGTTAATGTATATATGTATAAGAATGCTTTTCAAGTGGTTGATGAGTTTAGGTTAAAAAGAAACATATTGATAACGGCAGCAAAGTGAGGAATGAGGATGGTCTGGTCTGTGCCAAATTAAAATTTGATAATTAGAGATATTAGTCACCGTATAAGTTAAATCTTGGTTGGTGTTACTTTTAGTAAGTAAGTACAATTTGGCGTAGTGTGCATAGAAGTTACTAACAATCTAGAACATGTTACATCAACCGGAAGGTTCAATGTTTATAAGGCAAAGCAGTTAATAGCCTGCGCCAAACGAAGATTTAGGTGTGGAAAAAAGTATTGTATTTTTCAGATAATATCATATATATTTTAAGTTCAAGTTTTTGGAATATGTGTGTTTAGGTTAAAACTACCAGAAGATAAACTTTAGAGTGATTATATATAAAGTAAAAGTTGTCGTATACAAAAGAAGATTCATTTTACTTAATTAGCTGATCAAATTTGTATATGTATCCTGGTATATAGCATCATCAGGATACATATACAAATTTGATCAGCTAATTAAGTAAAATATAATGAATCTTCTTTTCTTTTTTGAAAAGGGGAAAAATTAGGGGATAACTTAGAAGGTGGTTATGTTTATTCACTTATCATGCACGTAAAGGTTGTCCAAGAAGTAGCAGGCATTAAGCAATGTT